TCTCGCCAGCCCCACGGCAGGGAGCAGGACAAGCACCCTCCGGCGCAACCAGCCCGCGAGACTTTCCCTTCTCCAGCATCTCTGCGAGCGCTTCACAGACACCCCCCCTCTCCCTGCTAACGCCCGGCCTCCGGGAGGTGACCAGGCATGGCAGCTGCGGGAAGTGGGCTCCGGGAGCCCTCCTCTCTCGACTGTCTCGCCCAAGGTCGCACACAGGAAGTCAGCTGTGGCTGGCCTCTGGCTCTGTGAGCTCCCCTAGGCGCTGGGCCTGAATTGGGTTAACTTCTTTCGCAGGTATCAGAAGTGAGGTGGGCAAGAGGGACACTAGTTTTGATTCTGTTGGCGTTCCTAAACTCAAAACCGCTCTCAATACTGAAACAGGGCGAATGAGAAATAACTCTGAATCTCATTTCTGCCCCTCTATGCTTTTTGGCTTTTGTTTATCTGATTGCTCACCTTGAATAGGAGAGAATCATGGCACCAGCCCCCAGCAGAGCATGTGGCCGCTTGAAGAGGGGAGGACAGAAGATGATGATTAAAAACCAAATCTGTATCCTCCGATGGAGAGATGCGGCGCAGCCTGCAGCCCTTGCTCTGCAAACATTTTTGTGGCACTTGCATCCCATGATGCTAAACACAATACAAAAATCATAGCTCTTCCTATTGTTGTTTTTTAATCTCTTTGATTTGGCAAAATCTAGTGGATTATGTCACCTGGGTACTGCATATTGTAGTGCAATGTGTGTGTATTTGTGTACTAAGGAAAAAACAGGCTTCAAGTGTATTTTTGGTAAATGAATGGAAACGTTCCTTTCAATATTAAAGAAATCTAAATTTTGAAATAACAGTGCCTTCTTAAGGCCCCAGTGGACTCTACATGGCTCAGAGGTCTGTCCCTAGCATTTATAGAAGGGATGTAAAATCCTGTTTAATTGGTTAACCCGTTAAACAATGTTTAAGCAGTTAACTGATTAAATGGGGTGTGAGCAGGGAGCTGTTCTGGGCCAGAACCGCCCTCCATCCCTCACCTGTTAACCTTAACTTGTAAGCCTCACCTGTTAAACCTTTCACATCCCTAGTTAATACAGGAATTGGGACAGAAAAGTTCTGTGTAGCTCAAAAGCTAGACTCTTCTGCCAACATAAAGTGGTTCAGTAAATGATGCTACCTCACGCTCCTTGTCTCTTCAATTTCCTGGGAACTATCACAGCTACAATACCTCTCTTCTATGTGACAGAAATCCTTAGGATTACATAAATGTGGCTAGCAGTTTGGCAGGTAGCCAAACTTTAAACTACAACATATGGATATAGTCAGAAAGAAGCCTTTTTAAAATTAGATTTAGCCATAAAATTTCCCTTTAGGGTTACGAGGCATAATACACTGTAAACAGTAAATGTCTGTGTGTGACCTGTAGAAAGACTTCTGCTTCTTTTCACATTCTGTTCTGTCAAAGTTCCCTTTAATTTCAGTGGTAGCGGACTCAACCACTTATTCACTAAGAATGTGTGGCTGTTGCCATCTTCCTTCATGGAAAAAATAGGTTAGATGTAAAAGTCTGTGTGCTTTTGAGACTGACCTACCATAGTGTGCTTGTGTAGGCCCTGCAGGTCAAGTTAGATAGCTATTGGTAGTGCAGTGCAAGAAAGCTGCTGCTGCTGCTGTTACAGCTGTTCTGTGGATAATCAAGAGACTTCTGTGTCCAATAGTGATAGAAATGTATCCGTGTTAGTCTGGTGTAGCTGAAACAAAATACAGGACTATGTAGCACTTGAAAGACTAACAAGATGGTTTATTAGATGATGATGTCCAAGATTGTCAAGCTGTGCTCCTTAAGATGAACATGGGCATATGGCTGATGTGCTTTGCAGATTCCCCACTGTGTTTCTCTTCTGCAGTGAGGAGATGACCCTGGCATATGCCTACCTTCAATCTGCTAAGTTGCAGCACCTTTTCTGACTCCTCCAGAATTTCCTTCTGAGATTCTGGCTGCAGTTTTCTTCATCCTTGTATACTCCATCCATGACCCCACCAAGTCATAAGACCTCCCTTTTAGCCTTGGCACTGTCCAAGATAAGACCCGATTAATGGATGGCTGATGCTAAACAGGGTGATCAGAGACTCTGGGTTTTTTTCTTTCTTTCCATGCCCTTTTCACACATTCAGAGTTCCTTTGGGCACTGTCCACCATTGTCCTTCAAAAGTATATCCATCTGGTCCCTTGTTTAGAACTTTTGATCCTTACACATTTGCATGGATGGGCCCTTCGTTCTGGGTGGGCCAACACCCACCCCTAAGAGAATTCAGGTAAGGTTATTGGGCACTATGCTCACAGAAATACAACAACAAGTAAAAGTCTAGGCTGGGTTGTTGTCTTTCATGTTGCATTTAAATTAATTCAAAGGGGATATTAGTATTTTATTTTATTTTTTTAGAAAAACATTTATTTATTTTGTAAATAAAAATCTAACCTAAGACTCATGTTCACTTGTCCTGCTGAGTCACATTTCAGTAAAGAAAATGAAGCTGTCTCAGCATACTGTGTCCTGTTTTTGAATATCTATAAAACTTGTAAAATTTATTGCAAAATATTTTTCTCACCAGACACATGAACACTTAAATTTGTGTATAATATGACTCAAGCCTAATGGGGTTGCATTAGCAAAATTATGCAAACACATAAGTGTTTGCAAGACTGGGGCCTTAGCTGTTACAAACAGACACCCTGTCTAGTTCAGCAAGCTTGCTGATGTCGAGTGAAGAGGAATACCTTTTCTGTGCCAGAGAGTTGAGCACTATCCTTGTCCTAATTCTACTTACCTGTTTTGGTTTTGTGAATATGATGTTAAACAAATCTTGAGCACTTTTTTCTAGGCAAAATTCATTTGCAGTATTTGGCTTGTGGTCATGCACTGGATGGGGATAAAGGAAATCTGTGGCTTTGCCACAGACTGCTTATGCGACCTCCATTAACTCAGTTACTTTGTCTGAGTTCCCCACCGATTAAATGGTATAAAGTAATGGGTTTTTTTGCTTGTCTTGTCTAGTTTAATTCAAATTTGAAGGTTGGAAGGGACTGCAAGGATCAGCTAGTCTAACCCCCTACCAATATGCAGAATGTATTGTGTTTTTTAATCAGAGGTCTTCACTCAGTGGGATATGCCTCCATAGGGGAGCAAAGAGTATCATTTGGGGAGGTGAGGCTGAGACCCAGACCAGCCCCTATAGGGAGTGGGCCAAGAGCGTTGCCACACTCCTGGCTCGGGCCTCAGATATGTCTTTGCATCTGGGGTCCTGCCGGCTGCGGCTGGCCTCAGCTCCCAGCCTCAATTCCCTTCTCCCTGTCTTCATCCTCCCTCCTGGAGCTGCAGCCTGGCTTTGTGGTGGAAGGGGGCATGCACAGGATAAGAGGGGTGCAAGATAAAAAGTTTGGGGATCACTGGTCTAAACCATCCAAGGCAGATGGTAATCTAGCCTCCTTTTGAAATTCTCCAGTGAAGAAGCTTCCACAAGCTCCTGAAGCAATCTGCTCCATTGTCCAACTCTTATGGTCCTGCCCTCTTGCAAGAGACAATAACTTTTCTCCATCCTTTTTATGGCAGTCTTTCAAATATTTGAAGACAGCTGTCACATCCCCCCCTTAATTTCCTCTTTTCCATGCTAAACATACCCATTTCCTTCAACTGTTGTTCATATGGCTTGTGTTCCATCTGTTTGGTTGTCTTTGCCACGTGTCTCGTGATGCTTTCCAGCTGCTCCACATCCTTTTTATGTAGCAGTGACCAAAATTGGATACAGTGCTCCAGCTGAAGCCTAACCAGTGCAGAGTAGAGCAGTACTATCACTTCCTGTGACTTGCATGCTGTGTCTCTGTTAATGCTACTTAAGATTGTAAACACTGAGACAAAGACTTAACTGTGTGCACTAGTAGTTGAAACACAGGTATAATCTGTAAAGTCACGTTTTTAAAAAGGGAGAGGTTGCAAAAAATATTTAACAACTTAAAAATTGGACAGACTGTGAATCTTGTTGATGGAAACAGGTGATATTCTAAAAGAAAGAGCTCTCAAACATGGTTGTTCCCATTTCTGTCACTTCACACTGAATCCAAGTCTATAAAAAGTTAAGTCGACTCAGCTATATCACTCAGGGGTATGAAAAATCCATTCCCCCTGAACAACGTGTTTAAGCCAACTTCGTCCCTGGTAGTAATGTTAAAATGCATATAACTAAGTAACTGTGTAACCACTGAATAACTTCAGGAGTTACATGTGGGGTGGGAGGTGGCTCCCCATATGTACTGGGAGCCTGCATATACCGGGAGCCTGCGTGTAACTGTGAATGTTAACTGATGAGTCTACATTCATCACGCTTTTACATCCCTAGTCTCTGGTAGGGATTTAAAAAGTTGGTTAAAAAAGTAACCGTAACTGCTAAAATTTTGGTGGTTATATGATTACAGATTACATGCATTGCAGGTTAAATAATCTTTATACTGCAGAGCCTGCGGCATAGTCTCCCTGGGAGCCAGGTTTGAAGGGGCTGCTAGCTCTACTCCCAGGGAGGAGGCTTTACTGCAAGAGTGGGGTAGTAGCCTTTGCTAGTCCCACTCCCATGGAGCCTGCTTCTGGGACCTGGCACGTGCCAGGACAGACCCTATTGGCTCCTAAACTGCAGAGCCAACAGTGGGGTTCAGCCAACTCCCCAGACAGGCAGAGTTTAACCGATAAGCATCAGCTTATTGATTAATTGGTTAAACTCTAACATCCCTAGTTCCTGGTATAGACTGAACTAAATAATGAAAGAATTCTTCTGTCAACTTAACTACCACCGCTCTGGGAATTAGATTAGCTATATCAACAGGACAGTTCCTTCCATTGTTGTAGTAAATGTCTTTTTTTTTTTAAGCACAGCAGCAGCACCACATGTACTAACCCTGTCTCAGATATCAGAGTGATAGATAGATTGTCATTGCTGGAATCTTGTTATATGGACACCTGCTGCAATAGGATCCCAATCTCCAAGGGGTCTATGGACTATTGCAAAAATTATTGTGAAGTAATTACGTCTTATCTTCCTGAATTTTCACTGCAGCTGTATATAGAACTCTTTGCACAGGGTCTTTTGTCTTCCGTCCTCAACTGTTGTATGGGTGTTGTTCTAACAGCTATACATCACCCCATCTATTTCAGTGAAGGGTGAAATGTGTTCGTAAAGTGATTTGTAATAAAAGACTATCTGTATAGGATTTTATTATTATGTTTTAGAATCAAATGAGGATTAATTGTGCTCTAGATGGAAGAGTTTTTTGGAGATGAGGGATCTAGTATTAAAAACTTCTTTGCAAATTATTTCATAGTTGATAAAAGCACTGAGTATTATAGTAATGTCCAATTCTCCTTGTATTTTGTTAAGAGTATTCAAGTCATCACATAGAAATAGATAAGAATTATTCAGCTATTTACTTTTTTAAACTTTAAAACAGAAAAGTCTTCTATTTTCAAAATTAAACAAATACAATGATTTAATTAAAAAGAGAACTTTGTTTCATCACTTTCTAGTTGAGGGGCATTGTCTGGTACTGCTTTTTGGGTAGTGTGAATCCAGAGGCTCGATTGCATGCAGTGTAGTCAGATTTGCATTAGATTAATTTTGATTTTAAAAACTCTATTACTAACAGTGTCCATCTTAAATGTCATCATAAGGCTGCCTATGTCAAACTTAACTGTAGTGTAGATGCTGAACCTTGCTCCCACTGATATGTGTCATACTACAATGGCATAATAACTCTTCCTCAACAAGAGGTTAAGGGCTTATGTCTGTGTAGTTAAAGACAGTTGGTGTCTATATTCTGTGTACACACTGCATTAGTTACATGGCTATTGGCTGTCTTTTCAGTTTCTTGGCTTGAAGAAAGCCTGGCAGCCATAATCCCCACTTCCAGCCCAGATATCCTGACAGGTTACCTGCTTAGAGAACCAAGAAGCCTGCATGGCTGGGTTCTGCTCCTAGTTTGGAGCAGAGAGCCAAGATCCCTAAAGGAGGAAAGGAGCAGAAAGATTTCAAGTGTAAAGCTGTGCTCTAGGTCCCCCACACTGTCCCCGATCAGATGGTCAAGCACTCCTGCTGAGAATGCACACCACTATCAGAAGGAGGATAGCATGGACATCATAGGTCCACTTAGGGCTATGTCCAAACTCTGGATGGTCCTTTCTACTACAGGCAGTCCCCGGGTTACGTACAAGATAGGGACTGTAGGTTTGTTCTTAAGTTGAATTTGTACGTAAGTCGGAACTGGCGTCCAGATTCAGCTGCTGCTGAAACTGACCAGCAGCGGCTGAATCAGGACGCCTGGGGCAGAGCAGCTGGGGTGCTGCTGGGTTGGTCCAGTAGCGCTGAGGAGCGGCGCTGCGGGACCAACCCGGCAGCCCCCCAGCTGCTCTACCACAGGCGTCCGCGAGAAAAGCCTGGTCTGCTGGGGAGGAGGGGCAAACTAGCTGTGCCCCCCCCCCCAGCGGACCAGGGAGATGCGGGCAGCGGGAGACGCGGGCGGCAGGGCCCGCCCGGAGCCCC